TGATATTATGGTTAGAAATCCACTTACCTACTGGCGATTTCCATTAGAACTGGGTCATCGTTCTTCCGGGCACGAAATATTGGACAGTAACCCATTAAGGCAATTCCTTTTTCTTTACAGTAGTTCACGATGTCTTCCAAGCGCCAATAGGGATTGAGCTCAATTTGATTGACAGCTGGAGTAGGTAGCCCCGCCTTTTCCATCTCTTTGAGGTGATTCACGCCAAAGTTGGACACACCAATGGATCTTGAATGAAGAATAAGTGCGAGTTAAGTAAATTAGGACACGAGAACAAATAAGTCAGGCTTCATCAAGAAAACGGTTTTCACTTCAAGTTTCAAGTTTCTTTACTTCCATACTGTAACAAATTAAAAAATATAAATCTGAAAAATGTCGTCGAGGTTTGTTAACGAAAATCCAGTGGGTTAAAAAGAGTCCTCACAGCTGGTCCAATATTTGACAGGAATTTAACTGGCGAAAGATGCACGCAATATATTTATGGAGTCGAGTCAAGATGAATTTGAAACGTCGTGGATTCCTTTTGCTTATTTTTGTAATCAATTGTTTTTCGAACTGCTTATTTATCAGAACTTACATGTAAATCTCTAGACACTGGTTTTGTGGGAAACTAGAGGTTAGAAAAACTAAAATACAGAAATAAAGGAATAGAGAAACTTCCTCTCACTGGCATATCAATTTTTATGTTTGTACCGGTTGTAAATACAATCACTAATTTTAAACCACCGAAGGTAGTATTACTTTTCCAGTTTAATTGTCTTCTTTTCCCTCATCTGTGTCCTGCACTTGACCAAAAGATTCTTAGTTTAGCAAAGAAGATATTCAGAAGTACTTACGTACGAAAGAACATATTCGCATGGTTTATAGGGTTCAATTGAACAGAACCAAGATACATGGTATAATCACAACTCACAAGAGCAATAATGGCGCGCCGGATTTCTAGCAAAATCATTTAGCAATTAAATTCCATCTTTTAATTAACTATTTAGCCAGGGCCATGTCTCATTGCTCTTTTATGTCTGAAAGATGAATTAGTTCCGCGGTATGCGCTCTTGACTTAAAATAATATTAAACTTTGTTAACACTTCGGTTATATAGCGCTATTTCCCTCACTGTCCAATAGCGATCAGCTGCCTCGTCCCAGGCGTCCTTGGTTTGAACGCGGTGCACGTGGAGTTTTGAGCCTGTTTTACCTAACCTTAAGCACCTCGCTCCATGTCACCTATTCAATTATTTCTGACGGCGCCCGGGCATGACGTAGCAATGAATAATCAAACAATTGCATTTTATCTTGCTATAACAATGTTATTTTCTTTATCTTAATACCTTATAAGGCCTTGTTCCTTGAGTTTTATCATTGCTTTGAAGGAATCGATGTTTTTTCCAGAAGAGGGACTATGGATTAGGTACAAATCAACGTACTTTGAGTCAAGCCTGCAACGACATCAATCAGTTGTTACATCGATCAGTTTGCAGTGCAAACGATGTTTTTTGGGCAAGTTGCATAAAGTAAATTAACAGATCAATTTCGCACTTAACAAACAGACCAGAGCTCAGGGCTTTCATACAATTGGCTTCCAAGGTGTTGAACATGTGGGCTGCGGGATTTGCAGCCGGAAAACTCTTAAGGTGAAACTCCAGTAATTCGCTTAAGAGCTCGAAACAATGTACAACGCAGAGCTAAACAAGTGGGCAAATAATTCGATACGCTTCACATAGAATCAATGCAATCCCTGAGTGATCCCTCCCTTCATTTATCAACCAGCCTTGTTACACATACCTAAACACGCCTAAGTTTGAATTGAGAGAAATACAATAGAATGAGCACTCTATTGCAGTTTCTATTCAACTTACTTTTGAAGACTCGCATTAAATTCTTTCAGACATTCATCGTATCCATGACGTCCCGTCAAAAGTTTGGTTACCACAAATATGTCTTCTCGTTTTACTCCTGATTCCTTGAGACCTTGTCCAACTTCAGCTTCATTTCTGGCAAAAAATCAATAATTTTATTTAAATCTTCAATGAGATTGGTATGGGCCTTTTCAGGGGGGGGGGAGGAACCTCTTACGTGCTTGTCGTCTCTTTTATGGATGTAAATTTTGGATTTAGGTGTCACTTAGGGTCAGCTCAGCAAGAAATGCCAATGTTTTCCCCCATCAAGATTTCTTGAGATTGCTCAGAAATGAAATCTCCTCCGCTTTTTCGATCGTCTCCACTGACCAGGAGTCTGAAACAGGCTAGGTTGTCCTGGCGTTGGACTGTTCATCAACTGAGCTTCTCCGGCGGGTTTTGACAAGTATTGTCTGACACCCTGTTTCCAATGGTTTTTTTTTTTCTATTTTGCAATTAAATGTAGGACGCAAGGCAGAAAAACGATTCACGAAGCTACAAACAAAAAAAAGCTTTGACGGCTGAGAAAACCTTTTTCACTGCAGTAAGAGATAGTAGCAAGAAAACCTCTGTGACCAGGACAGTTGTCTGACAAGCTTTGCTGTTTCGTTAGCCAGACGAGTTTTGCTGTTCCTTTTTGTGATTAAAAAGATGTTTGACTGGGTATGATATTAATTACGCCCTTTCCTTTTTATAAGAATATAATTTATAAAAATATTGAGGCTGAAATTTATGAAATTTTAAAAACATTTTAAGAATAACCCCGAGGCTGAGATTTTGAAAACAATACAATTCTGTGTGTTGAACATTTGTAAATACAATAAAATCATTTGTTTTAACTAAATCGTATAAGATTTCTTCCCTCCTCTAAACGGCAAAACTAGCCAAGAAACAACAAAAACAGAACTAGCCCTATATTCGATGCTAATAACATTTCTGCAAGAAGTTATATGGTTTATATCAGGATTTTTTGACTGCAGTCTGGCTCCAAAATTACTTCAACACCATCAAAATAATGATAGAACAGATAACCCGACGTTGTGTCGCCATAGTCCACTTTTTATTCCTATAATCTAAGAATATTCACAACAATATTTTCAGCATTAAATCGGCAGAAAAAAAAGGGATATTTAGCCCGGGCCGGCTTATGTAGAAAAAGGAGTGTAGTGCTACAAGATGTGCGTGACGTTCTGTCGCTGGTGTGTTGTGTGACTATATATAATGTTTATATTTATGAATATTCTTATTACACAATTTCTTTTTATATTTATGAATATTCTTTTCATATATATTTTATCCCGGTGAATAAATTAAACCAGGAATACCCGAAATGTGTTCTAAATGCTGTGTCACCATGAGAAATTCCAAATAAACTGACATTCCCAGTGTCTGTGTTGTGTTAATTTGTTGTCTAGAGATGTCTGTTTCATGAGAGTTGTAGCGTTACACGAGCCAACCGCGAGCCCAAGTCAACCTCGAGTCAACCACGAGTCA